CTCTGGTGCAAATTACTGACCTCTGTCATCATTTTAGGTGGGGGAACTTGCACAATCGGTGGCTGACTAAATACTTTTTTGCCCCACTGTATACCATATTCAAATGTCTGTCAAAATGCAGCTGTTAATTTGATTGTGTTAGTGTGTCAGACTTTAATAAATACAAGCAGCCTCACACTGCTTGCAGGAAAAAAACAGACGGATGCACCCATTTACACATCCTAGCGCAGTAACTTACCTTGATTAACAGACAAACGACTTGGGCTCCCATGGCAAATAACGTCTGGTGTTCTTCTACACTTTGTATGCGTTGGCTGTTAAGTGCAGAGGAGCTGCTCTGGGTAAATTCTGTGCTCTGATGGAATCTCAGTCCTCACCATTTCCTGCAATCCCTGTCCCTGCAATTTCCCTTATAGAAAATCATATTGATTCTTTTTCAGTGTCCTCTCATTTCTCTTCATACTGTGTCATTTTTGTTAGGAAATAACTCAATCCCTCAGTCCCTCATCATTTTTGAAAGAGAGTCAGTAGATCACCCAAAGAACTTTTTACACCTCTGGGTACATTTTTGCAGATGAATCATCACATTAGTTTGCCCTGTGTCAGCAGAACTGACACTACACTTCTTTGGTGAACCCTGACAGTAGATTTTTGCATGGGCTCTAAATATCATGATAACAGCTTTAACTTCTCATTTTTTCTTTCTTAACCAAAAGTTAATACCCTGAAAACTCAGTTTCAACCAATTAAGCTAACTGTGAATATTATATTTTCTCTCTTGGAATAAAAAAAAAGAAAAAAAGTGCACTATTGCACTGCGTCAGCACTGCATCTCTGCTGCATGTGTGTGTGTGTGTGTGTGTGTGTGTGTGTGTGTGTGTGTGTGTGTGTGTGTGTGTGTCTCAGCTCAGCTGGTCTCAGTGTGGATAACTTGTTCATCAATAATAAAGGCCACTTCTCTTCTTCTCATCTAACTACAAAGCAGCTTCCCTTTACTTTCCTTCTCCAGGACTGGTCTTTACTGCACAAATAGTAATTATCAGGAAGCACATTAAAGTAAAGATGCAAAGTCACTTGTGTTTGCATAAGAGTTTTAACATTTCAGTCACAAAGACCAAATGTAACCAGTAAAGGTAAGAATTGTTGTTAAACTACACCGTTGTTTGCTACGTGCTAGGAGTTTACAACAAATTTTGTGATGTAATGATGCCATTTAGTTTTATAGATGTAGATGTTTGCTGAGACTTGTCCCTTGTTTCCTATTGACACCAAATCAGGATTAGTATCTGTGTGTACACATTCTTTATACTGTCCAAAAGTGATAGTTGTACTAGTGATTCAGATCCTTTATCTACTAACTTCATTCATCTTTTCTTTATATAGTTGCTTTGTTTTCAACGATTCATATTCATGTTTTAAGTGCATATTAAATGAATTATTAAATATAAAAGTGTTCTTCTGTGTTTGCAGGTGAATGTTGTCTTTTGCTGATGTTGCTGTAAAGTCGTCAGTCTTCTTTGACTGACCGCATCAAACCAACCAGAGAAATGGAGAGTGGAGCTCTGGCAATGGAAGTCAGTGCTGGTCTAGGTGCGTCACCTTTCTTTAGATTCAGAATGAATATACTGTAATAATGGGGAAAGCAGCTGAAATACTGGACTATCAATTAAACGCTTGAAATAACAAGCAATAATAATAAATCATTTCAAATTGGTTAGAAGAGGTGAATAAATTTTTTTTTTTATCTTGCCTCCAAAATAAATAAACATTTGAACTAATTAGTTAAGGGGATCACTTAGTAGTTGAACAAAATGCTAAAATAAATGGATAAAAAGTGTGCTGAAAATCTAGACATATTTACAAATATGTCATCTGATAACACACACTGATTTTGAAAGCAGATTTTCAGATTACTGGACACATTTGCAAGTCTTACTTTGCATTCAGAGACTCCGTTACACTCTTACAAATGTGGTACTGTTGACAATTTGAAAATATAGTTATAGAACCGTTCACGCACATTTGTGAGTAATTCTGGTTTGACAACCTTTTAATAGCCATCATGTTGACAGACGGTATGCTTGATTGATCCGTAGATCCCACATCAAGGCGTCAGGCCTGGGCCAAAACCAGAGAATCCGTCTGGCAAGATTCGAACTCAGAACACCTCTTTGGTCCCCGGGAGCCCCAGCAGAGCCAGAGTAATGGGAACACACAGGGACCCACAGCACAGGGTTAGTTGAACTTGACTGTTTAGCCTCTTTTGCTAAATACTTTACCTAAAATACCCGTGTATCCAAGGTTTTACATTTGCTGACTTAATGATATGCTTTTATTTGTTTATGAACCTTTGAAATAGAAAAGGTTATAGATAAGGCTCTGTTCTAAAACATGGTGTGACTGAGAGTTACAGATTAAACCCAAATTCTTATTTGAGATGACACAAAATGTGACTGAGCCGGAAAAAAGCAGGAATAACGTCTGCAGAGGTCAGGATAGAAAGCCAAAGACTTTTCCCAAAGACTTCTATCCATAGATTTCTGTTGGATTCAAGGTCTTTTTGCAGCTTTTAACTGGATACATTTAAACACGTTACTGTCCTACAGTCTAAAGGAGACGTGGAGATCACTTTAATTTGTCAGAAGATCAAAGTGAAATGAATTCTCATTCAGTAAGTATTGTCGGGTATGTGTTGTGTTTCACAGGTTTTGGTTTGTAGCCCTAATAAGTGTAACCATCAAATCACTTTACCGGCATATAAAAAAGCCTGATTGCCTTCTTATTGCAAAAAAACCAAACACAGCAAAACATATTATTTAGAGTGTAAAGCACCAAAGTTTTGGGCCACAGGGATTACTTTTTATGCACTTTTGCCCACATTTAAAATAATGTGACATTTAATCATTATACATGTAAAATGTAAAGTTAGGGAAACCATAAAATGAATCATTATTTGTGGTCAGAGCATTGTGAAGAAAAGTTGGATGTGGACCACTTACATCTAAAACAGTGGAAACACAAACTGCAGACCAAATTACTGTAATGTTGACATATCCTGATGTCTGGCACCACTATAATAGTTTTATAGCATGTTGTAATCACTGCACAGTACAGCACGCGCTGTTTTATTGCTTTAACATTCTCATTTCTTTCTACTAGGACAAGTTCCTAACAACAAGATCGCCAGCTGGCTGAATGACTGCAGGTACAGTATTCATTCACCACCTGATTAAATATCCTGTTTTCAGTAAATGTCTCACGTGCTAAAGCAGTGCACACATTCTGGATGATTCAGTCCAATAATTTAATGATGCCAGTTTAAAATGAATGTTTTTAAGCAAGAAGTTTAAAAAAATAGGTTTGCTTTGTGTCATATCCCACAGGTCCTTTATTATGTTATTCACATTTTTGTTCATAATGACCAAAATGTGCTCTGCTCTTTGTTTTTGTTGTAGTGAGTTCTTTTTAGAAAAACACTTTGAGTCCCTTGGACATACACTATAGAATAGAATAGAGTAGAAAAGCCCCTTATTGTCATTGCACATTTACAAAGAAATTTAATTCCTTCAACTGTGCAGGAATAAAATATAAATGGCAAGAGAGCAGGAATAAATAACAAATAAAAGAAATGGATGCAATCAAAAGGAATATATACAAAACAAGAGAAAAGGCAAACATTGGAGAACAGAGTGCTTTGCAGTTTTTGGTCATTTTGGCTCATGCTGTGGTCAGCTAACCGAACTGTGTGCTGTAACTTCCTGAAGCTGAAAGGCTTAGAAAAACAGCATTTTCTTTCTTATTTTTAGGGAAAATAAACAAGAGTTTGTGGATATTTTTGTTCCAAGCTTTGTTTGACTAAAATTGCACTTGTATTTTTTTTTTATTGTTAATGATTTATTAAAATTATGGCATTATGAGCTTTTTCTTCTGCTTCTGAAGTGGGGCATTGCAGGAAAAATTATTGGAAATGTTTCCATTATATATAAACTGGATTGTGTTTTATTGCCGTTGTCATTGTTAATTTTTCCTACAAACAACTTCACCTGTACAGACACTTCGACTGGTTAAAAGTAACTGTGCATCTGTGCTAATCTAGTTTTGAGGGGCATGCTATGAAGAAAGTTCAACATTAGCTGGGCTTTCTTTGCGTTAGCTGGCTTGACAAAACCTAAAACCTCAGTTGGCGATTACGAGTAAGATGGTGGTTATCAACTTTCTTTGTTAACCCAGGCTATCTGCTTGAGTGTGTTTGCACACTTACTTGAAAGGGGGATTGATTCTGCGTATCTGAGCGCTGAAACTTTAAACTGCAGGCACATTAAAGGTTATTCAGAATTAAAGGATGTTTAAACAGTAACAGAGACGTGGAAATCACTTTTGGTTTGTTGCCCAATGAAAGTGAGATTAATTTACTGACTGAATAGATCTTTTTCTGTATGTTCTTATCACAATCTGTATAAGATACCTGGCAGCTGATTAGCACCAAACATAACAATCTGAATGCAAGAAAATTCCAGTGACGATGCAGTTTGTGCTGCTCTAAATATACAGCTGGGCTACATTTGACCACATATAAAATGTTTTCCTTCCGCACAGCATTTGTATTGCACTTAAAGGATATTGTAACTAAAACAATCCCCAAACAGATTGTGTGCTCACCAAGTTCCCATGGTGATTTAGCCAGGTAAAAAGACCCACATATGGGACGCTGAAGGCTCGGACATGACATGCTGTTAACTTTTGAAAGTTCTGGATAGTTCACAAAGCTTTTTCATGCCTGTACTTACAGTAAAAATACATGAATTATGAATTTGAATGCAAGTCAAAATATGACTGATAATTACTGAATTTAATTAGGCCATGCATTACAGTAAAATTAAGTTAATGAGTGCCGAGGGTTGTTTGATTATGGGATTATTTAAATGGGAATCACCCTAGTTTTTGTCACTATATTAAAGAACACAAATATGTCTTAATATTATTTTAGAATCAAAGATTGGGAAATGGGCATTTGAGCTCTTTAATAAAGTGCATCTAAGATGCTTGAGATAAAAGCTTTGCTGAAATAATTAACTACAATCAAAAAGATAAGACAATCAGTGTGAGGGTACAGAAAGATTAACATAGTCATTAATGTAAATATGAACAGCTGGAGCTATGGTCTTTTAGAGCCTGACTCATGAGTTAAACGCTTGCTAACTGGTTTTGTCGCTTGGTGGGTTATTGATATGGTTTTCTGATGTCTAGAGGTGTGTGTTTAAAGGTGTTTTTATCAGCTGCTGACGTAGCGCCGAAGCACAGCCAACGCCTAGACATAGAACACACAGAACCACAGGGAACAAACACAGACAAAGACAGCAGACCCACGCCCAGAGATGGGGTGCACAGAGCGGCTGAAGTGGAGTAAGGAGAGAAAGATGCAGGAAGAAGCTGACAGAAGACGGAAAGAAAAGCAGAAAAAAGAGCAAACAGAGGAGGGGTTCCTCCTGCTGAGTCAACATTGTTATCACACAAGCACAGTTTTAACCGCTGTCACTCAGAAACGTCTACAGCATGACACGGCACCGTGGTAACATGGCAAGCAGGTTACTATAGCTACAGTCGCAGGGTAGGGACTTGGGGCCAACATGGCTGATTTTGGCAAGTGGGAGGAATAGTAAACACTGCGACTGCGCACTATTACACAACTGTCTGTGTGTGTGTGTGTGTTTCATTTGGTGCCATGAACTTGTGCCATTGATAAAAGCTGCAGGTTGTGTAACAGCACAGTCTCTCCAGCATCCTGCTGCAGACAGCAGCTCAGACCCGCTACCTCAGTACTACTGTCAACTAGCCTAATCTGTCAGCCAGTTAGCCTGGAACAACTAGTGTGGTCAGTACAACCGCGGAAGCTTCTAAAACCAGAATTTACCCTAGAATAATTGGTATAGGATGTGATTGACCAGAATAAGCGCCTTGAGGCGACTTATGTTGTGATTTGGCGCTATATAAATAAAATTGAATTGAATAAGTATCTTGACCTGACTTAGACTGGAAATATTGGCCTTTATTTGACTGCCAGTTAGTCTGGGTTACCCAGACTACTGACTACTACTGACTTGAGAGATCTTAAAGTTGGCACTCAGCCTCAGACAAGCAGCCAGTTCGCTCGCTCAAGTTAGGAAATATCTTGCTATACAAAGCCATACAGCATTATTATCAGTTATCTAGGATATTTGTGAGATGGGTATTTAACCTTGGATTTGTCTTGAATTTACTACGATGTAGTCTAAGGGTAGGTGGCTTCAGCCACACAGTACAAATCTACACACAGACTACCAATAGAGAGAGAGCATGTGGATCGATACATCATGCTACTTTCTTATTTCCTTTTTAGTGCATGTTAATCGCAGCACACCTAACTGGTGGCTGATGTTGGATTTTGTGTGCGTGTTCAGTTTATTTCACTCATCATCTCTCTGTTTTCCAGAACTCCCCTTGGAGCCTCTCTAGATGACCAGAGTGCTTCTCCAAGCAGAGGTAATCCTAGACCTAGACTCTAGACTTTATTGCATCAGAATATATTTGCCGCGTCATTACAACTATCAAATCTGAATTTGTTTTAGTTTAGCACTGTTGTCACTGACGGCATTTCACGCCGTGTGTGTGTGTGTGTGTGTGTGTGTGTGTGTGTGTGTGTGTGTGTGTGTGTGTGTGTGTGTGTGAGAGAACAGGGCCTCTGAAGAACGGCTGCAGCTTTGAAGATGACCTTTCACTGGGGGCTGAAGGTCAGTTCGCAAGATTTACAATTTCTTCTCATTGTTAACGGTTTCCCTCCATTTTCTGCTAATTGTGTAATTGAATCCTGATTTAAATGGCATATTAAAAATAGAAACACTGACATTTTGGTAACGTGTTCTCTGCCCGAGTTTGAAAGCTGATAATAGCAGAGCTGCCCCCAATGCAAAACCTTAATGGTCCATAAGTTAAGAAAACTAATCAAGACTGATGTCAAACTTCTGTTGCCAGGAATATATTTATCTTGTATAATTCTAATGCAAACAGAATCCTAATGGTCATAGTTACTGTTCAATAATATGAAGTCCTACATTGGCTAGCCTGCCAAGGGTCCAGGAAAAAATCCTTCTGGTTTCCTGGAGTGTTTAAATAAAGTTGTTGTGTTTTTGTTTTTTTTCCCTATTATCTCCCTGTAGTTCTTGACTCTGACCTGATGGAAACTGGATTCTGTTCTAACCACATCTGTGGTTGATTTTTGACTTCTGTGAAAAAAAAACATTACAAAAGCTTTTATAAAATGTTACGTGAAGTTATCATTTGTCACTTCAGGAAAAATCGATGTATGCTTTCAGATTCCCTGGCTTGGATTACTGCTGATTAGGAAATTGCGTAATCCTGAGTTGAATTACTCATATTACCACTAAGGGTTGCTCTGGTCTGATCTGGTTTACTATTATTTGGACAGGCAAAAGCATCAAAAGCACCTCAAATCTATGATACCAAAGCCTAAAAACAAAGCTTCTGAATTGTAGTACTTTGCTGTATGACATAGTTGTCTTTAGAGGCTTTATGAACTGGATTTAGTTCTCAGTTTTCTGTGACTCCATACACAGAGGCAGCAGACACCAGGTTATTTAGATTTGGATGAGTTGTAGTCAGGAACAGATTTGTTGCATCTCGCTCCTAAATCACTACTGAGCTGAGAAGTGAATAGTTGATATTTTGAACACCCTCTAGTTATCCCAACACTTTCAGTTAGTTCAATGGAATCAATTTTTGGGTCATGCAGTCATCATGTAATGTGTTGCATTGTGTAGTGTACAAGCCACAAATACATAGACACTGTCTATGTCCATTGAGAGTTTTATCTAGTGTGTGTGGGAGGTTTGGTTTTTTTCCCATTATGGATCTGTCAGTGGAAAGTCTGTGTAAGGAAACTAAATGGAGGTAAAGTGTAGTGTCATCAACATAGTATGAGTTATTTTGTGCTTGGTCATGAGAGAAATTTGGATACAAACTTCAGTAGTCCAAAACCAACTTTTAGAAGGATAAACAATGACCTATAACGATCTGCAAACTATTACGAAGCGCATTGTAGAGAACTGAAAAAAAAGACTTTCTGAAAAAACTAAGTGCACCATTATGCTTCTATAGGAAATAAGAGGTAAGTAGGAGCCAGGTGCTGCTACTCAGATACATTCGATTAGTTGATCATCAGCAAATGCGAGCACCTCTGTAAAAGCAGAAGTTATTCAGAGGTTGTGTTAGCAGAGTGTTGCAACCTATTGGCATGTTAAATCTTAATTGACATCACGACTGTGAAATTTCTAAGAAGGAACAAGTTGGCTTGGCCTCTTCTCTTTAAAAAGAACACGGCAGCACAGTTTAGGTTTGGAAAGCTGCATCTTAACAAACTACAAGACTTCTGGAACAATGTCCTTTGGACAGACGAGACCAAAGTGGAAATGTATGGCTATAATGTTAAATGTAAACCAAACACAACATATCATACTAACTGTCAAGCATGGTGGTGGAAATGTGATGATTTGGACTTTCAACCAAAGAATCTGGGCATGTTGCAGTCATTGAGTCAACTGTACTCCTTTGTATACCAAGGGATTAAAGAGTCAAATGTGAGACGGCTAAAGCGTGAAAAGCTAAAGCACAGCAGGAAATCTAGTCTTGCAGTGGCCCAGTCAAAATCAAATCAAATGCCAACAAACATCAATTAATCGAAGCAATGCAGTGAAGAAGAGTCAGCCAAAAAAATTTCCACAGCAATTTATTTAATCATTGAGTGTAATTTGGTGTTTTTACAGGACTGTATAGTCCTGGGAAAACTTTGATTTTCACAGGACTGCATATCCCATAGAGCTTCCTAAGGAGTCCCATAGAAGAGAAAGGCAGTTGACTTTTTGACATTTCTTTTATGTCAGAATAATGAATATAGATAAAACTATTTATTTTGACCCACGTGTCTTTTGATCATGTGTTTTAAATGAAGGATGAAGGTCTGACAAAACGGTGCTTAAATCAACAGAGTATCTTGTGATACCTCATCATCTTCATTCCAGTCTTGTTTCTTCTTGAAGGAAAAGTCAACAGTGGCAGAGGTGTGGGAACACGCTGCACGCACGACTGAGTGTGCGTGTTCATCGTATTTCTGATCTTGTAAGGACGGCAGAGTGTATATGTTACCAACTGAACAATAGCCTGTAATGACTTTCTGTTGAAATGTCATGTATGGTGTGTGTGTGTCGGAGATCAGTTGGGGGAATCTGGCGCTGAATAGGTGTTAATTGGTTAATTCTACAAGTTTTTACCTTGTATCAGCAGAAAGCGCACAACAAATACACAAAAAAGACAACAACCGAGTTTGCATAGTCTGTCCTGCATGTTGATATACTGTATCCGGCCAGATGGAAGCTACTTGAACATCTTAGACAAGTGGTGGCTAGGATCAACCAGAACTGACTGGGTCTTCTTCAGAGTCCTAACTTTGTACAGATGAGGAAGGTCATAAAGGCGCGCATGTCCTACTTTCCTACACATTAGACTGTCTCTCCATATTAGACAGTACTTTGCAGCCTGCTTTTGCTGTTGAGGTTCAGTGGGCCGTGCTAGCTAATAAATGAGAATGTAAGAACAGATTCAATAAAACCTTCTCATAAACGTGCTGCTGACATGGAAACCTCAAAGCTTGTGATAAAAGTACACTTGTGCTGGTAAGCTTTTCTACACATGGCTTCCACCTGAAACTCAAAGGTCAGCTTGTTATCACTTATAGTGCTGCACAAACTCAGTAGTCTCATCTTTTTTCCATTGAAGGCAGGTAATCGTAAAATTCTCTGTAAAATCCACAACCATCAATTTAGTTTTCTGAGCACTGATGTCCAAATAGGACAATTTGTACCACTCAGTGAAATCTGGTTGTTTTATTTATTGAGGAAAATGACCTAATATAGCGTATCAAGGGTGGGGGTTGAACTTCAGGCTATTCGACAACCCCTCTGTCAGCTTAGGATTAGGACCTGGTCATTTTGAAATGTGATATTTATTCTTTTTGGACCCTTGATGACTTTTGTTTTTACATTGTTATTAAGCTGCTTGACCCATCCTGTCTTGAGATTCTAGTCATGGACTAAGCTCGAAAAGTTTCTTTAGCAATTACTGGAGTAAGTCAGAATTTGTTGTTCAAAGATCACAAACTGTTCTGGCCCAGATGTGCCAAAATGGACCGAAACGATGATGCTACCACCTCCATGTTTCATAAATGAGTAGCTGCAATCTAGTGTTGTCCTTTCCTGTGTCGGACTGCTGTGGCTCAGGCTCATCTCTTAATTAGAACTGATGTGGCTTGATCCCTGCTTTGTGCAGCGCTCCCAAGTGTGATCGATAAAAGGTGCTGGTATGAGTGTGTTAATGGGTAAAAATATGCATGCTCAGTCACCTTAAAAAAGCACCATATAAATAACACTTCATGTATCCTTTACATTCTCCATAATGCTTCTCAGTTAAACCAAAACAGTCTATTCATTCTTCTCACTCATCAAAGCATTGTTTTTGCAGCCTTCTGGCTTTCTAATGTGATCTTTAGCAGCAATGTTTTTGTAGAGCAGCAGCTTAGTTTTCTCAGGCCAGCCATGCCTGGCATTTTTTCATTACGCTCCTGATGCTGGACTCTGAAAACCCTCAGAAGTTGCCCTGTGTTGCACAGGAAGAGAGTTTTATCAGTCAACCACTCCTGTGGAGGCTAATGACACTTTCTTTTGTTTGCACACAGCCTTTCTGACTTTGGATTGGTCGAGTCTGAACTCTTTAAAGATAATTTTTGTGACACATTCCAACCTGATAAGCTCCTCCCACCGATTGGCTCATGTCTTTAAAAGTAAAATCTCAGTTGTTTGTGCAGCTATTCACTTTCACAAATGTGAAACTTTCAAAATGTTACGCTAGCATGAGTTTGAAGGATTTGGTTGATTAAATTACCAAATTCATAAAACATTTGGGAAATGGGAAATGCATATTTGACTAAAAATACCTGCATCAAATATTTCATGTCTAAGGATATTTAGTTTAGCGTCACTAAACATTTCCTGAGCATCAAGGACTCAGCCTGCCTGTGTTCACCATTTGATTTTGTATAAGCTGTCTGTGTTTATACAGAGGTGACATTAGGATTCTTTAGTCTGAGTGTCTCTGTCTGCTTCATGTTATATCCTGACAGTATGTGCCTTAATTATGTTGAGAGTGATATTTGACAGGAGTAGCTGATGTCCTCTGTGGAGGATTTTCCAGATGTCAGGTATGGACAGATCCTAATTGGCTCTTATGCTGTTTAACATTAGGAGGACAGGATAGGAAGGGATTAAAGTGCTAAGGGGTGAATGGGATAGAAGTGAATTAGTGAATTAAATAGTTCGGGGTGAATGGTGTGGAACTGAATCAGTGAATTAGCGTGTGGATGTCACTGTTGTCACGTTTGGCTGCTTTAATCCAGCGGTCTGTTAGAGAAGGAAAAACATTGTTGATTCCAAGAAGTTCATCTGAAATGAGCTGGAATAGAAAGACGCTCTCACACAGACGGCGACATGTCTCAGCAAGTTCTTGTTAAATGGAAAAAAAAAAAGCAGTCAGACCTGCAGCAAGTGATGACGTTTTTTTTAAAGTTGCTTGACAAAATGAAAGTTTACCTACATCAGCGCTCAGTACAAGCAAACCGTGGTAAACGGCACAGTAATTAAACTTCAACGTTTTTAGGACAGCTGGTTTGATTCCGACCAAGTTGGGCAAAAGCAGTTTTTTATTTTGAACGAAATAAAAACTTGGCAGATATTCTCTGCTGTAGCTAGGTATAGATTAAGGCTAGTGTTAGTTTCTTAAGACATGGTCACAGATTTTTATTTTTTGTCCTTCTCTGTGATTTTAAAAAGACCTTGAGGAAGACCTTAGCCTTTACATTTTCTGGGAGATTTATAGCAAATGGTTGACAGAATTGTAAAGGAGAGGCTAATGGCGAGCAAGTTCAACCAACTGAACTAGTATCCTGTACTGAAGTTCCACTCACTGTTCCTATCCTTTTTAATCTATAATTAATAGTTGCTTGATTATTTAGTTTCAAGCATTCAGCTGTGCATCTCATTAAAAGAATGTCATCTTGAACCTTCTTAATAACTGTTGTACGTTGTTGTAACGGCCTATTGGAAAAGGTCTTAGAAAAACTTGTTCTCCTATCTAAAAGTTTTTTTTATTTTTGTCTGTAGTGGTTGCTGTAGTCAGGATGTACAGTGCCTGCTTTCTTTCTATTCAGGTTTGTGTGTCACATTAAAGAGAGTCTTCTTGCAGAGCCTAAAATTTAAAGTTGTTGTCTTTCTGTCTGAGGGACAGAGAGAGGAATCTTCTGTTACAATAGGAAACCATTTTTTACGTGATGCCCCCAATTTATATGGCAACCCCCAAGTGTAATTTTACTTCCCCTGAAGTCTGTGGAAACAGTTTGTTCACTGAAGAACCTCTTTGACCGTCCAAATGTTGTCATATTCAAAGACATATTTCAGCTAAACTCGGGCAAAAGTGAAATCAGCTTAGTTACTAACCTTTTAAAAGGTTCCTCTTCTACTCACGACGAACACAAAAATCTTTTTCTTTAATGTCTTCTTCAAATTAGCGGTCTCTGTGAATGATAGCTTTTATCAGCTTAGGAATTTTAGCTTAATTAAAACCAGTTTTATCTCACAATGACTCATCCAGTATTTGTTTTATCACCTCTTGACTAGACTACTCGACAGCTCCCTGTACTTAGTTGTCTTATTACACCCCTTCTTGACTAGTATTTGTCCAAGATGCAGCTGCTACAAAGAAAAGACAAGACATCACTCCTGTATTGGCTTAGTAAAATTCCAGATCATATTACATCAGTCATGTATTTCTTTGGTAACCAGTGCAGCTGTTTGTTCTTTGCAGAGCAGCTCTAAAGAGGCTTCTAATGCCATAATCCGCCTCAAGGTGACTTGCATCATCCTCCCGTTAACTCCTCGTAGTCGCCTACTCTCGCCTTTAAAACCAAAATATTTCCCACTTGCTGCTGCCAGACTCCAGGAAAAAAAAAAAATCAGCCACCCACATTAAGTACCGCCCTGTTGTTGACAATACTTCATCCTTTTGAAAGATCCACATATATTCCCCTGGTTAGCTGTTTGGTTTAAGTGCACTCATGTCATGCTTTTTTTGTTTTGTTTTGTTTTTGTTTCTTAAATGTTCTGATGGTGTGTTTTAATGTGCTGTTGTTTTTAATGCAGTGTTTTCATTTTATTTATGACTTTCACATCCTGACTCCTTTTTTTTTTTTTCTCTTCATTTTTAAGGCTAGTTTTGTCCAACCTCTAGTCCCCTGGGATTGTGGTCAAGTCAAAACTTGTTTATATAGCTGATTTATTGGGACTTTATGGTTTCCCTTTTGTCCTGTTCTGTGTTTTTCGTTATGTTGATTTGGTCAGGGGGAAAGTTTCTGATAGATTATTGATTAAAGGCACAGAGCAGTGACACAGTAATGCTGCTCAGCATTCTGTATTTGGATGTGTACTTAATATTTTCATGTTCTTCTTTTGCAGCCAACTATCCTCAAACCAAAGCCTGGTGAGTTCATTTGTTTTACTCTCTACATTCAGTAAATAAAGTGGCAGCTGGTTGGTGCATTAAGCCTGAAGCTTTTCTAGACATTACCTGACATAGATGGACTCTGTACTAAAGAGTTGGCACGAGAAAGGCCATTTAATGTCTCATCCAGCTCTGTCAGAGTCCATGAAATGCATAATTTCACCCATGTGAGGAAAAGAGTAAGTAATTGAATGCTTACTATGAATTCACAGTAAGCAGCAGTTGTCCTGTGCCCTGCCTCCTGCATGCTTGACTCATGCAGCTTGCATAAACCACTTTATTTCAAGTGTTGAGAACACATGTGAAACATGTAAAGCAGCAGATGTGGTGAATCATTTGATTTGATTCTCCTGATGTTTTCCAGAGTTCATGTTTAAAAACGGCTTTAGATTCTCCCTTCTCTCACATGCACGTGCGTGATTTAATGCCTCTCTGTATGTTAATGCTTCGTATGCAGTTTTGATCTTGCGGCGGATCAGAAAAGGAGCCAATATAAAGAGAAAGGAAAGAGTATGAACTCCACAGGATCTGGGAAAAGCAGCACCGTGTCCAGGTCAGTTCATTTGCTCACTTCTCACTCAGATTTGTGCAGGGATCTGCAGAAAGTAACTCTCAGAGATGCTGATATTAAATCTCAAACCAGAGAACTCTTTAGTTTACCTTGCAAGGGAGTTGAAGATTTTAATCAGAGTATCTGCATTGCAAGGTTTTAAGTTGTGCTGTTAGTTAAACGTAAGTCTGACCAATAAGCACCTAGCCAGTGCGACTGCAGTTATGCATTTATTTTAGCCAGATGCTTCATCCAATCACATGCCAATGAATTTATTTATTTATTTATTACCACCTAAGTGCAGTAATAAATAAATTAAATGTAAATAAATCTTGTAATATTCTAAGTACATAGGCAGCTGCACTGCTGTAACTATATGGTAGCATGTCCTCTTTTGCACGCTCGGCATCCTGTGAATTGATGACCTGATTAGTTGAAGTTTGCCCATGGTAGATGGTGATAAACGGATGGTTCATCCAATCGTCTGCCAAGTAATGAAGTGACAGCATTTCTCAAACTAGTTTCTCAGAAGAAGTGTCCCGATGGTGAACTTTAAGAAACAGTCTGGTACTTCAGGTTTTTCATTTGTAGCCAAACAAAATTACTGTCCATAAAGGTCAAAGTCAGGGTGTATTTCTAAGAGCAAGTGTTATCTATTCAAGAGGAGTGCAAGAGTTTTTGTCCAAAAACCATCTTATTTTAAATTCCTTGGATGTCGAGCAGTAGTTAGGAGATTCCCTACTGAGAAAATCTGTGGATCTCAGAATTATCCAGTGTTTTAAATTTTGCTATATATATTTTTTTCTCTCTTTATGAAAGTTTTTACAATAAGTTGAGATCTACAGGAAACTGCACTGTTGCTGCTTCTAATTTAATCACACTGATGTCAGTCAGAGTGATTGCTGTCCACCTTTCTTCCCTTTCCCTGTCATATCAGAGCTCCCTTAGCCAAGACTAATTCAATATTTACACTATAAATGGCCTGCTCATTGTGAATCTATGACACAGCTCTTTTAAAAAAAAATGTATAAAAATGTATGCTCTCATATTCTGTTTATGTACTCGTATTTAAAAATTTTAAAAGCAAAAACCCCCCACCTAAATAAATCAACATTAGCATCAGGGCAATTATTATTATTATTATTATTATTATTTATTTTTTTTGCCTGTCCCGTTTGGCTCTTTTGCCATCAGAATTATTGTCTAAAGGCAAAGAAAGATGCCCAACGGATTTACTTTACCAAATGGACCCTCCCAGCCTTGCCGTAATGGTCCATTTGATTCACCTTTTTATTTTTATTTTATTTATTTTTTTATTTTATTTTCACTTGCTAAATACGGGACAGATTTGACTGGGGAAAAGAAAGGGGAGAAAGAAGGAGGGAAAGAAAACCAGCAGGGAAGAGGGACGTGGATAAAGGGCAAAAAACAAAAACCAACAAAATAAGCAGACAAAAAATGCATATATCGATCACCTGGATCACCTGTTGAGAAAGAAAAAAGAGAAAACAAGCAGAAGAAAAAAAAAGAGCAACATAATAAACAACATCACGATGATCTATGTGAATATGACAGTAAATACTAAATATTAAACATTATTGTGCAGCACGTAAGATCGACAACGCACAGTGTGCTTTGAGGTAGGAGCCAAAAATGGTGTAGTTTGTGGGTGTGATCACCCGTGCGTACACCTGTGAGCATGGACGCGCTTGTATTTAAAAGGTTCCTTCATGTAATGATCTGCTAGAGGGTGTGGGGGGGCCACAGCCCCGTCCTCCAGGGCATGAAGCAGGTATGGAGGAGATCAAAACTCCAGACATCTAGAGGCCCTCAGAACACAAGAGACCAAGGAAGACCAACAGAGGGGCAGCCGCGCCACTGTCCCAGAAAGAGCTGACGAGAACCCCAGATGAGGGCTCACTCAGCAGCCGCGGAGCAGAAGCCAGGGGGGGGTTGCAGTGACGTGCCCGTGAGCTCCGCCAGCAGCCAGCCGTGCCTGAGTGACCGAGCCTCAGGCCGAGAGGCCGGGGGCACCCCACCTCCGAAGTGGCCCGAGCGAGCCCCAGGCTCCAGGCCCCGATAAGCGGCCGCCAAGGAGTGAGCCGGTGTGTACCCGGACGCCCATCCCCAGACACAAAGAACCACCAACGCACCGATGTCTGAGGGCGTGTGGCACTGGCAGGGGAAGTGTGGGGAGATAGGCCTCCAAACCTTGGAGGGCCTGAGATGTCCCCAGAGAGGTGGCGTCTGATACCCAACCTGACATATAGACACAGACATACAGGCACACACAGACACAAACATCCATTCCCACCCTCATGCTCTCATATGCACTTACTCCACACTCAACCAACGTGGAGACAGACATAAAGAGACGTTGTACACACGATCACACTCCCCAAGCGTACTCTACGAACCGGGTCTAGGTACCCTTGCCCCTGGAGGGGGAAACTGCACCCAGACCCAGGTAGTGTTACCCTTTTCCCTGCGGTGGGGAGAAGCAGACTGCCCCGACTCCGCAGCAGCAGGGAGGCCCCACACTCCAGACCCCAATTGGACGGCCAACTCCTCCTCCCAGACCCATCAGGGTAATTCTGATTGGGCACTAGCCATGAGCAGACACTTAAATTTAATTCTTTTTAAAAGTTGTGAGCCAAAGTAAAGAATCAGGAACCTCTAGTGTTGAAATAAATGTAGGTTAGTTGTTTTTGGTTGGAGTAATAATGGCTTGCAGTGTCACTGCTCTATCAGAAATATCTACTGTCCACATCCTTTACCTATAAACACACGTGGTGGGTAAATTATCAGGATGATTGTGGTTGTGGTGAGTGGACAGGATAAGGCGATGAGGTCGGAGCAGCAGGCGTGTCTGGCGGCTGATGTTATTAGCTGGTGTTAAATGTGGTAAATGATGTATAGTGGCTTCTCACGATTTCACAAGTACATAAAAATAGAAACTGTATTATGAAGATGAGTAGCATCATCACCTTACAGTGCAGACGATTATCTCGCTGAGTTATCAGCGGGTAGAAAAAGAAACCACAGCAGCCTCATCTAAATGCAGGTATCACTGTGTTAGAATCACCCAAATACAATATAAAATACACTATTTTGCATAACTACTTTACACTGTCTGCTCTACGCAAATAGCAACTTGTTGTGTTGGCAAAACCTGAGGTGAAAATCTGGGATGGATTAGTCTTCTGCTGCTGGTCAGGATTCAGGTCTCAGCTGGCTGTGTGTTTTCATAGCGGTTCAGATTTGCAGTCGTCACTCTGCAGTTAGAGAGAAAGTTCAGACTAATTCTGAACTTTCTCTCTAACTGCCCGTGTGTCTCTCCGCAGTGTGTCAGAACTGCTGGACCTATACGAGGAGGATCCTGAGGAAATCCTGTTAAACCTTGGCTTTGGTCGAGAAGAACCCGACCTGTCCTCAAAGATTCCCTCCAGGTTCTTCAACAGCAGCTCCTCGGCGCGAGGCATCGACATCAAGGTACAGACAGAGCAAAAGAAATGGATTTGTTTTTGTTTTGATTTTTTTAAGTTCATCGTTGTAGTTTGTTTAGCACTTTTATAATGCACACTTGTGAATGATCAGAAGGTCGCTGGCCGTACATTGCAAACACTTTCACAGAACCAGGAGCACAGAGGATACGTCCAAGTCACTTCAGTGATCCTTGACTTTGCATTTAATGGCACAAGCAGATCCAACTTTCAACTTACTCAGTGAAATGTTTCACAGTCTACTTGATGGTCTGGTGCAAATTCTTCTGACACTCACTCATGCAGGACGATTTTTAATAACTTTAATGTGAATTTAATTAATTTTGCTCCAAATTTAAATTTTTTATTAATACTCTCGTGACCAGATACTTCCAAAAACAATGAAATCTTCTTTATTTGCATGATTACTTTATATTTGCGGTTTATTAGAAAACGTTAAGCATTCACATTTTTTCAGGTTTTTTTTTGTTTTTGTTTTTTTTTTAAGTCATACACTAGCCATATTCAGGGACGTAAAGTTTTTTGACACATAGTATTGTGCAAATGTTTTGAGCCACCCTTCGTTTCTTTACATTTTGCCAGGAAAATGGGAAATCGGTGCAGTGTTTTATTGAAATTGGAAATCATCATGCATCGCTCTCTCTGCTGGAGTTTTTTTTTATTTCTTAAAGACGTGACTTTCAGCTACAGTTCATCTGCTGTACATAGTTTTTAGCTCTGCCACTTCTTCTTGCCCCGTTATCTCTTTTTTAAGATGACCATTTTGAGATATTCCAAGTTTTTGTCTAATATCTCCTTGAATCACCTTCTTGGTGCAAAAATACAATTTAATCCCTGTCAAACTGTTATCGTTGGCTTTTTTTAAAAAAAGATTCCTATTCATATTTTTTTTTAATCTTTGGTATGTTTTATCTTTTTATTTTATCATTAATACCTCTGTAGGCATGAGCATAATACTATTTCTGGCTTTTAGCAGTAGGCCAGTTTTTATTGGAGCTCTCCAAATAGCAGTAAGCTTTTTCTTATTGGGGTTTCCAAAAACCAGAACAAGATGTTTAGCCATGATACTAGTGTGCAAAACTTGGTCTACAGTGTTACCATGTGCGTGCTAATGAGGAACGCTGAACCAAGGAACCGAGGATCTTCACACTGTGCAGAATTGTGACTTGTATAGATGTTGAGTGTAAAATAATTTTTTTAAAACCCTTTGGCATTCCCTCGCTGAAAGTCTTACATTCCCAAGGAATCATTATTGGATTTCCTGTGGTCCACAAAGTTGTGTGTTGGCAAATGTGAGACCTCACAATGCTCGGGCCTTCTTTTCAAGCATAATCTAAGGCAGTATGTGGTCAATGAGAGCGGCAAAGTAGTGGCTACAGACTTGCTTACTGCTAAAACTTCAGCTGCGTTTGAGGTTGAAGTTATGCACGTAACTAAGCTCTACTCTATTTCACTTGTGTTGCTTCGATACAGTGACAGAGATGCTTACTAAGGAGTAGCTTAAATTAAATTTACCGCACACTTGCAAAAAATCAAAGCAATTTGTCTTCCCCAAATTACAAGATAATGTATCACAGCCATAGACTTTACAACCAAAGCACAGCCATAGCTAAGCAGAGTTATGGCCTGTCTTGATCAGCCCTGGTGGTGCTCGGGGAGAGGGATGGTGAACCAGCTCCTCTAGTTACTTTTCCAGCTGTATTGGTACAGACCTGCGCCCACAGCTCGAGGTGCAGTGACTCATACTGTTGTTACAGTGAAGCTCTGCCTTTCTCTATTGATCAGACAGAATGCAAACATAAAGGGAAAAAAAATTCCCACAGTGACTCTTAGTTACCTCTATATTAAGTAAACATTATCAGCAGGGGAAAACCTGCTGCCGTATTACCATCAGTCACAGATAATGTTTGTAATGGCATTATTTCCTGTGTTACATATACAGGTCTACCTGGCAGCTCAGCTGCAGCGGATGGAGGTGGAGAACCCCAACTACGCCCTGACAAGTATGTACCTCCATGCTTTTAACGCCGCTGCATCTCTTCTGGTGTTTGGGTTTACTTTCTACAGCCTCAGTGCTGCAGGTGGAGGGTTAACCATGATAGTGATGAGAAGCTCAGAGGTTCACGTCCTGAAACTGTAGGCAGAGGAAGTGAAGCTCGGTGACTGTGTGTGTCCTGTTCCCAGTATTATTGTGGTGTTTTGTGGGGTCCTTCAGCTTTTTTAGCTGTTCTGCCAACTGCCTGGACAACACTGCCAGCAAAGACAAAGGTCTGTTTGTCCCAAACTCACACACACTCGCACGCACATGTGCACACAGACCTGCTCCGCTAACATCCTGGCCTCTTTTTGTTTTCAAATGCGTTTTTGCATGAAGGTACTGGCTCACTACTGAACAGACACACGCACACACACAGGATCTGGCAAAGCATTTCTTTTTTTTTACTGCACTTACACTGTTAAACTGTCAAGAAGAAGACAGTCAGCTGCGCGCGCGCACACACACACATACATATATATATTTGTAGCTCAGATATTTCTGTGTTGGTGTGTGTGTGTGTGTGTGTGTGTGTGTGTGTGTGTGTGTGTGTGTGTGTGAAGCTCTAGAATACTTTAACTGAGTCTTTGGTCACTTTTCTACTTTTTAGTTGGTCCAGTTTATTGATGATAGTCTCACTTCTTGTTTGCTGTTCTTTGTTGCTGTTGTGCTCGTTGAAGGCAACAGATTTGTATTTTCATACGGCCGATCGAGCTCTGCCTTGTTTTCTTTTTTGGTCTTGTCTTTTAAGTTTTAGTTTGTTTGTTTTTTATCTGCAAGTAAGTTGTTGTCACGATCACTTCACACAACCAGCCATACACTTGTCAACGGCTAACATAAGATGCGGATTTGTGGTGTCAACTATGATAAATGAACAACTGTCTCAACTGCATAAAAGCCAAATATAAACCCAGGTCCAGAACTGTTTGGATGCTTTGTAAATGTAAATATAAACAGAATGCACTGATTTGCATTTCCAAAGCCGCTATTTTAGTCACAGTAGTACATAGAAAATATATAAGATGTTTAAACTGACACATTTCAGTATTTAATTAAAAATATTGGCTTAGTTTGAATTTGATGGCAGCGATACGTCTCAAAAGTTGGGAGAAGGCAACGAAAGGCTGGAAAAGTAACTGGGACTGTAAGAGCATCTTAGAGAGGCAGTTTCTCAGAAGCAAAGATGTGCAGAGGTTCACCAGTCTGCAAAAAAAACTGCATCTACAAACTGTGCTGCAATTTCAGAATAATTGTCCCAAAAGTCAAATTGCAGAGACTCATCTACAGAGCATGATATCACCTACACATTTGGAGAAATTGGAGAAATCCCTGTGTGTAAGGGACAAAGCTGAAAACCAGTGTTAGGATCACTGACCTTAACTCTTTGGTGAAAAGGTCTGTATTGCAGGCAGGGCAGTTTAGCTTTAACATTTGGAACATCACTAAATTAAAAAAATATGACAAAGAAGACCCAGGACTGTTAAGCAGCTAGATAGCAGACAAAAATGGGACAAAACTCTTTCTCTAAAAGTCCAGCAGCTGTTCTCTTCAGTTTGTAGTTTGTAGAATGCTGTTAAAAGAAGAAGAGATGCTACACAGTGGTAAATATGGCCTGCTTTTATTTATTTATTTATTTATTTTTAATTTGTTGCTGCCACAAAATACAAACTGAGCCAAAATTTTTCCTCTTAAAATGGTGCATCTCATTTTAAATATTTGAATGTTTTTATGTTCTTCTGTGAGTAAAATCTGGTTTGCAAATCATTGCATTCTGTTTTTTTTTGTTTTTTTTAACATTTTATACAGCGCCCTAACTTCTTTGGAATTTAGATTACTGGTTTAAATTGATGCCGACTCATCAGTATGCCAATGCAGGCTTTGGCATTTTGCAGAATAATGCCACACTTTGAATTGAGTCCATGTCGGCGCCTGGTGTCTCATCATGTGATCTCAGTCTGACTCTGTGATGTTGATCAGGGCTCTGTGGGAGCCATGCCATCTGTTGCAGGACTCAATGTTCTTCTTGTCATTCAAGGTTGTTCTTAGTGTGTGTGTGTGTGTGTGTGTGTGTGTGTGTGTGTGTGTGTGTGTGTGTGTGTGTGTGTGTGTGTGTGTGTGTGTGCGTGTGCAGAATTAACTAAATTTAACAAAAGTTAATCTCAACAGCTGTTGGATTTTTCTACATAGAGCGTTGTGGTGTGAAAGGTTAATATTGTGAGTGTGAGCTGCAGACAGTAGCTCTATCACCAACAAATAGAAATCCTGACATTTAGTTTACCAAAGGTCCCAGGCCTGGATGTTTATTTTCTAAAACACTAATGCAGGTCATTATGGACACCAAGAGTGGGTGTGGCTGCTCGTGTACATATATTATTTCTGTCTGCATATCTCAGGGTCACGACCTCATTTTCTTGTTAGCTCCCAGTAATAACTATATGAGTCACAAGATGTTTGATGGCACGCAAACTGAAGCTCCTTGACTCAACCGAGTCAAAGCCAAAGTTGTGGTGGGCAGATAAAAGTCATCACCTTTGGCTCTTTGCTGTGGTCCTCGGGTCAACCCTCAGCAGGGTTATGGTGTGGTTTGGTGTGATAGCTTTCTGGGGGAGTACCATTTCCACGAAAGAGGGTATGCTTGCTCTGCGACACTGTTTAGTTGATCCGAATCAAAGGAGCATCTGCATAAATGCCATACACCGCTGTTTCCAAGCAGGATATTTATAAAGAGTTATAATGGCGTGATTGATTGTTATTCAACTCGCTCTTGTTTTAATGTTGTTGCTGATTGTTGTGAGCTTTTATGTGTGCAAAGAAATAATTGCACCTTAACTTGTCCCGGGAATATCACAGGAAAGAAAACCTCTTTGTATTTATTAATGATAAAAATCCTTTGACCTTGTCTCTTGACTTGTATTGTTTGGAAAGGCGCAGTCCTATTTCTCATATTTAATTTCGGCCCCGCTGGCTTCCATTGAATTTCATATGACAAACAACTTCAAGTGGCTTCTTCCTGTTTCGCTGAAATCTCCAGCTGTCTTGACTGAGCAGCTGTGCCTCTTCAGCCACAAGCACGGTCTACATTGTTCTAATGCTTTTTATATTGAGTCCATTGCTACAAACTCTAGCAATGCTCTCACACACTATCCAAAGGTCTGCAGTGGCTCTCTTATCAATGTTTGTTTATTACACACATCAGAGCCCAGCGAACCTTGGCTGGACACTTGCACTGCCTTCATTGTGGAAATGGAGAGCACAAATGTACTGACAGCAGTCTCTCAAGTTCAGTATGATTTCAGTTTAATCGTCACAATCAGACGTGTTGAACGCTTCAGATGAATGCGAAGAAGTGAACATGACATCACCCTGACTGAGAGTCAACAGAAGACCTGTTGACTCTCTACAAATCATGCAACTCTTCCAGGCTTACGCTCTCAGGTGTTAAGAGTTCACAAAGAAGTCACAGCTTTTGACTGTTATTACTGACTGCTATTATTCTGCAGATCAAACCGATGTAATGAGAAACGTTGACAATTTTAGTAACATACAAAAACAACATACAAACGGAAAGAAAAGCTTGTATTTGCCTTGAACTGGTGCAAAGAAACGATAGAAATTAGAAGGTGATGTGCATTCTCAATTTAAATGTTGCCACAAAACAAATGAAAAAAGTCATATGATACTTGGAAAGACCTGAATTAACATCCCAAAATTAGCTGCATTAACTGTCAGTGGATCAGCAACATGATTATTAGAGATTAGAATGTGAAGAAATCATTATAGAGTATTTGAGAGCGGCTGAAGCTTATTATTTATCAGACCATGAAATCCTGCATAGGCAAACAGTTTAATGATATTTTTTCGACATAATCCAGCCATGCGGTTCTGTTCCCTCATGCGGCACTGCTAGCTGTACTTGTGTGTGTGTGAAAGTCTTTTTCAAATCATGGATGGTGGGTTTTTAAAATAAAGAAAAGATGGACTATTGAGCCTGTTATCAGCCCTTTGTTCAAAAGTCAGCATCCATGACGGTACAGTTAGAGCTGTAGTTTATTGGATGAATATAGAAAGTCTATAGTTTTTAGCGGATTTTAGACCAGTGAAGGGTTTAACACAAATTTTGCTTGAACTGTTTGGAAATTGCGAGCGTTTTTATACATGGTCCCCCATTTCTAGAGACTCCGAAGTGATTGGACAAACAGAATTTCAAATTTCATAATTATTTTAAATATTTGGATGAAAATCTTTTGTGATGTTATGCTTTAGCTCATTCATTCATTTTGGAAATGAAGTTTTCCAGCATTGAATCTGAATTTGAGGAGAGAATAGCTGCTCTATGAGCGATAAATACTAGTGATCTGGTTCCACTCACAGCCATACACGTCCATGCTATAACATTTCCTCCACCGTGTTTGGCAGATGTATTTTATGAGGTTTGTCTCGGATCATCAGCTGTTTTTCTCCTGAGATCTTTCAGGGCTTTTTAGTGTTGCTGAGCTGATCAGTTCCTTTATTTCACGATTGTTGTTTTGGCCACTCCTAAATTTTTTGCTGTCTCTGATAGGTTGGTTTTTCAGATTAACGATAACCTGCCTTCACTTGCACTGACAGCTCTTTGGGCCCCATTTGAAATTAGATTGAAAACCTTTGAATCAAATTCAGATATTATGTCTGCTTCATTCTGACATTAAATAAGAAGGGGACAGGCCTCACATGGCCCTCAAACTGTATCAATTACTTTTAAGCCTGTGAAAATGGGGGAAATGTTATGATATGTGCTACATATCTGGCGGTGTTTTTCAAGTATTTCCTTGCTTAATTTTGTAAGATGATACAAACCACATTCTGAAGGTCACAACGGATGAACTGAAAACATTTGGAGCATTGCGAAGTGGAAAAATGCAACAAAGAACGCCCTGAACTGTTGAAACCCCATATCAAGCAAAAGGAGGTCATGCAACACAATGGTAA